CGAGCCATCGCCGACTCTGTCTGCAGCCCACCACGCCGCTCGCCAGAAAATGATTTGAATAATCCCAAACCCACGTTAAATCCAACAAGCCGATATGCAGATCACGTGGCAAGATCATATCACATGATGAATCCATTAATCAAAAGCTTGAAACAAATTATTTCAGTCCATGAGACCAACACATCTTCTTTCTCCGCAGTCAAAGATGCCCTGTTCTCAAACTATTCTAAAATTCTGGCCGTTAAACTATATATAAAATCATATAGATAACATGTGAAAGAAGCAGCTCAAAAAATACGTCTTTTTTAAATGAGAAAGTTTTTACAGCGAGTTGCCACCGCAGCTCTTCTTCTTCCATTAATGGTGGTTATGCTATTGGTTCGGAGAGAACAGAACAGTTACAGAGTTGAAGGTAGGAAGCTTCTGGTCATGGAGATTCCTTCACGGGAAGTGAGTTTTATCTCCTCTCATTCAGAAAAGGATGGGAAGGTGAAGCACAGGAGGCAGGCAGGAGTAAGCTTTCGGTCGATTCCGCCATCAAACTCCAACCCCATACAGAACAAGTAAGATTTATAATTGATTAAAAGTATAAATTCATCCTTTATTTGCATTGTCCAATCCATAGCACAACCAGAAAATATCACATCCAAATAATCAGATGTGCACACGACAACATGAATCGCACTGCACATTGTGTATAATGACATGTTATGATCTACGCCGTCCGAACATTTATTGTCACGTCTACATGACAGATGTACTATTTTTTCATACTAGAATATTTTTCTTTTTTTTGAGCATTTTTTAAAAAAAATATGATTTACATTTTGCAATGTGTAGCTGCTGCACTGCTTTGAAATAGTGTTACCGTAAACTTGCAGGTCGCGGCCACACATTGGAGGCACAGGGAAAAAGCTTGGGTGAGAGGGATCTGAACTGAAGAGTTCAAAAAGTTGGCCTAGCTCGTCGGTGTTCTCTTTATGCCTGTTCTTTAGGGAAAATATTTGCGTACATAAGACGAATGCAGTGATACATACGTCCAGGGGTTATTCAAGAGGTACAAGAGGGTTATATCGGAGTTATACTCCTCTGTAACCCCTCATGTAACAACTTATATGTAAGCTATCTGAACTTACAAATAAGTTTCGCGTTTTTGTTTTCACATATCTGTAGGTTACATGTAGGTTACAAGGGAATTACACGGAGGTTACAGGGGGTATAACTCGAATATAACTTCCTTGTACCCCCTGAATAACCCCTGACGTACGCAGCGCTGCGTACATCTTATGTACGCAAATATTTTCCGTTCTTTAGGGTTGAAAGATATATATATATATATACTATGGATAAGAAAAATCATGTACATTCTTTATTTGCTCACTTCAACAAAGCAAGTTATGAAAATGGAGTGTCCGCTTGAAAATTTATGTTTGAATTATGAGATATTTGTCTTTACTTGTTGATGAAGATATACAAAGCCACAAGTAGCAATTGCTCTCATCATTCTACAAGTAGTGATATCTCATAGATTCAAAATAGGATAAAAAAATAGTATATTTTATCTATGAGTCAACCAATAAATCAAAATTCAAAGATATTGTACCAAATACATGCATGCAATCATGATGGTTTCTTATAAATGCTTACAAAAGTTTTAAATAGTTTCAAGAGAATTATGTTCCCAACACTTCAAAAATGAATTTGAAATCCTGCGTTTGAAGGTGTTTGAAAGCTTGTTAGACTCTTTCATTATAGTCTTAAATCATCAAATAAGCAAAGAAAAATGGATGGGAATTATGACATGCAACTTAGTGGGAGACAATGTTATATATATGATTATTTGATGTAATTGTTTATTACATTGATATGACTATTGAAGTTTCTAAAGAATTAGAGATCAAGCTGATCAATGCGCTTGTGGGTTCGTTGCAAGATTATGAATAAAACTTAACAAATAGATATGTATATGTTTAATTTAAGAAAAATTCTTCAAATAAAAATTTTATGGGCTGACAAAAAATGCTCTAAAAATAAGTTTGTGGTCGAGGGATACAATTATGATGAAAGAAATCATATTTTTGGCAGATGAAGTAAACAAGGAGGGAATCAAAGGTATGATACATCATAAGCAAAAAAAAAAAAAAAAAAAAAAAAAAAAAAAAAAAAAAAAAAAAAAAAAAAAAAAAAAAAAAAGATTATTATGGATTATATCATCTAATCAAATTAAAAGAAATATAAATTCTACAAATAATAAAGAAGAAAATTATATTCTCATATTAGGATAAAAAATAGAAGAAATCAACAAGCAATCTCATGTTTGTATATAATAGAGTTTTGTGGAGCTTTTATGATATATATGTATATATATATATTACCATCACTTAGTATTATCTTTATTCACAAGAAAAAAACTTAATTATTTAAAAAGTTGAAGTTAAAGATTAAAAAATATGAAAAATTTAATTTGAGGATTGAAAATAATGGGACATAATTATAAAATCCATTTTAAAAATGAATAGAAATTAGCCGGGGCCGCCAAATATCTTAAAAAATTAATATTTGTATTAATTTTTAAAAAAATAAACTATTTAAATATCTTAAAAATTATAGTAAATTTTAAAAATATTCTTATTATTTTTTTAAGGCATTTGTGCATGTACATTTTCTTACCCCTATAAAATAATAAAAAAAATAAATGCATTTATAATAATTTTTAAAATATTTATATACAACGTGAGGATTTGCAACGAAAATTTAAAAGGGGCATTTACATACATACCGCCCAATTTCAAAGTATTTATATATCTACTAACTACACTTTACTTTTTACACTTTTACCTGCCAAATCCTTCATACCACCAAAAAATTTTGACACATTTTACACTCTTATGTACAACTAAGTAGGGCTGTCAAAACGGCTTGTTGTTCGCGAACAACTCGTGTTCGGCTCGCTAGGAAGCTCGTGTTCGGCCATTTTGGCTCGAAATACTACTAATCAATTATATATATATATATA